TCAGGCAGACAAAAGTTACTTTTACCTCATCAGAACTAAACAGTGGTAGAGGCAGGAGTATGGAGAGTGGATTAAAGTCATTGTCCTGACCACAGTATCATCATGGCTAAGCAAGGGCTGACTTTTAGAACCAGGTCAGGAGACGCTGATTTCTCTATTCAATTCCAGGGCACCGCTTTGTAAATGACACAATCATTTTTGGGTACAAGAGGTGCTTTAAATGTGGTAACATTATATCATTTCAGCTATAATGATCATAATTACTTATTTCTTTTAATCACAACCCACTTAACCACTTTAGTACAGAAGACTAGTTCAAGGAGTTTAATTTTCATTCAACATCTAATCTTTGTGTTTACTGAAACCCTTCATGGGCTTTGTTTACTGTCTGCTTGCTGGCCTGGACGTTTGATCTTGCAAGACTAGATCAGACAGGGTCAGATAAAATACTGATTGCTAGAATAAACCAGGATCAGAAAAGTAACACTAGTTTATAAATCTTCTTCCTCCAAACTTTATAATATTTTGCAAAATAAGCCTAAGTAAACAAAGGAAATTAAGAAAACTAGAAGTCAGAGTTTTGAAAGGGAAAGTGAAGGAAGTGATTTTGCACCTAGCCAAATGCAGAGTTTGGCTGGTATTACTTTATGACACAATAATTCGATGAGAGTCGCTAGGATTTGTACAAACTTTAAATGACCCTTCAATGCTTAAAAAGCCTAAGTGCTGGATAACCCCACAAAGATAATAATTCATTTTTCTTCTGCTAAAAAACAAAAGAGAAATTTGAGAGACCTCCTACAATCCCAGCACTAAGGAAGTAGAAAGATTTTGAGGTCAAGGCAAGTCTGGGCTACATAGAAAGTTCAAGGCCAGACTGGGCAATGGAGCAAGACTCTGTCTCAAAAATAGATAAATAAATAAAATTTTAGGTGAAAAACATTAGAGATATGAAAATACTTTCTTCTAACTGGGGATATACATTCCCATCCTATGAGATCTTCATTTTTATAACTTTTTCTTATTTTTATTATATTCCCTACAAAAGTGAATTGTCCTGAGAATAACTGGTGTTAGTATTTAGAGCATAATTGCCACTTAGTTTTTTAAAAATGATAAGACAAGTTCATATCTAGAGTTTTTACAAAAGGTGGGTCAAAGAAAATAATAATTGCTTTATTAAAATAAGCAGAACTCATGAAAGAAAACTCTCTGGAGTAATTTCTTCATTATCTCAAAACTTTGAAAATGCATGTTTCTAGGTGCTTTATAAATTATCTTTGTGCCCAATACTAATGAAATATCTAATGTTAAATATCTGTTCATTGTTTTCCTTTTACATAAAGTGTATACTTTTTCTTAATTTAAGAGTTTTAACACTGTAAAATGTAGATCAGAAATAATGAGAGTATAGGGTAAATGGCAATTAAAACAAAATGCTGTCTATACCAACCTATGACGCCGATCACCCCACCACCCACCACTCCATTTTCTTCAGTTGCAAAAAATCCTGGTAAGCAGGTCCATGGTTGGACCTTGAAACCAGAATATACAATCTCAAATATGTCTGTGTCAACCTTGATTGTCTTTGAAAGTAAAGGAAAAAGGTAAACAGAACATACTTCACCATGATCACTCAGGAAAATAAAGTTAACATGCAAAGCCAAACTAATTTAGAACTTTTTAAAGAATAAGTGTAAATAATTTAGCTATAATAACAACAAATTCAAAAATGCACATTAAAATGTTTACTTCGAAATTTAGACAATTTCATTTGTATATAGTTTTTACATCTGTTTTTAATGATATCAAATTATTGATTGTTCATTTTTCTCCTATTTATTTAAGCATTAACGATAGAACTTGCAATTTGATCCTTTATTTTAATTCTTCCAGTAGACTTTTATTTTTGCCAGGTTCTAGTCATATTTTACTTTGATCTTTCTGCATGTATAATTATTTTACTGTTTATTTACTTCTATGAGAAGAAAAAAAATCTTGACCTAGGAGATTTATCTGTGGCAATTTGTAACAGAATCACATAGCTTGTATTTTGGAAATCATGGTTTTGATTAAGAAGCAACCATTTTGTTCCCACTGTTTTATTAAAACAGACATAAGCAGGTAATAGAAAACATATTTAACAATGTAGCCTGTATTTAGGTTGGGACATCAGTAAATTAGCTGAGACTTTCCTCTACACTGAGTATCAGGGGGAGTAGATGCAGGCCAGTAACTCTGGGGAAAATGCAATGTGGGGAGGTGTGAACAGATGAGGAATTTTGACTTTTGATTCTCAGGAAGAGCCTTGAAGTAAAAACCTGGTTTTGCTATGATTGATTCCCAGATTTGAAATTCATTATTTCTCCGGTTCATTTTGAAAATAGATGGTGACAAATTTTGCAAACCAAATCACTCCTACTTTCTACACAGGAGATCCCTCTGTGCCCTCTATTCATAGCAAGATGCTTCTATCAAATAAAATGTGACTAACTGGTTCCAACACTTGCTTTCTCTGAGGGTCGAAAGTTAATAAAACACACTTCTCTGAGTGTTTATTTTCTGTACACCATTTTACCTGTCATGAATTCTTTGTTTCTCCTCCCACTCCCCTGGCTGATGAATCAACACAACTTGAACTGTTTTATGACAGCTTGTGTTTACTTCACACATACCTTAACCTTCCCTTTTCTCCTCCTACTGACACTACTCTCTGTCTCTCTCTCTCTCTCTCACACACACACATACACACACACAAACACACACATACACACACACACTTTTCAATGGCAATGACTAACTCCATCTCTTTGAACAACATGTGTACAAAGTGTCTGACAGACTTTTCAGGTGTGGATCCTTGACCTACTGAATGAAATCAAGGTCTCAATCTGCTTTTATGGCACTTAAAGATTTAACTGTGCATTTACTATCTTGAAAAAAAAAAAGAGCTTAAAGAATCCAATCTCGATTAAAGGAAGAAGAGCAAAGGACCTGAGTGTTCATCTGTGCATGCACACACACACACACACGCATGCACACACACATACTGTGGAAAGAATTGTGAAAACACTAGAGTGAAGGGCCCCCAGGCTTTCTGAATCTAGAATTATACTCTAGCATATTAAAAGAGGATACTTTTTCTTTCACTTCCAACAGCAAGTAAATATGATCTAACAAATGACCTTGAAGCCACACAATGCTTTTGCTTTTTAGCCAAAGAGAATATGTTCAAGCACTTTTAACAATTCTATTTGAAAAGAAAAACTTGGAGGCAACACTTAAACAGAAAAGAAAACCTGAACCAAACAATTATGGCTTATAATGAGGAGTTATTCATCTTCTCCTACACAAGTGAATATTAATATTCTAAAGCAAGTGCCCAAATCAGAATCGAAAGGGCTCAAAATTTTTAGAATACATTGAAAAGAAATGGATCTTAATTCAATTTGCAGTGCACTTAATCTCTCCTGGGTAGTTCAACATTTTTGCATTCCTTTTAAATTGTGTACTTTATGTAACATGCTCTCATTTCTTTGTGATCAGAAATGTACCATCAATGAGTGTAAAAATTTATTTCCTGAAGAGGTAACCCTATAAACTCAAGCTCCCAAATATTCAAGATCCAAAAGCATTACTTTGATCCTCGGTTTCCCAGAGGAAACCTGCAGGTAGTGAAACATATCCACCCTTTACTTGTAGATATCCACCATAAAATATCATGTGGCTCATATAAACGGGCTGTAAGTTGTAAGTATGTTGTGGACAGCTAGAATAAAGCATGACAGATGATTTCATAATCATACCAAATATGGACTGGCCGAGTCCTGGAAGGTTGATACAAAGAATATCCTAAGTACCTTCCAGGACTAGTTTCATTAATGCAAATTGGAGAACACAAAAGAACTTTCCAACATTAACATATTTGAAAAGCAAAATATCATTAATATGTTTAAAAGAACTGCATGGTATAAATCACATACAACCAATTAAGCTAGAGAACTGTATTTTCAGGATCAAACACAATTCCATACATCATACATTATTACTACACTCTCTACTACTACTGTAGTATTGTAGCTATGAGTTATTAGGATGTCACCTTGTGCCTTTTCTAGTCCTTACAGCTACACAGCGACCTGCATACTTTTATTATTTTCAGTTTTCAGATGAAAAGATGCAATCCCAAAAACACTGAATAATTTTCTCAAGGTGACACAGCTAGCAAGTTTAAGAGAGGTTTCAACCCCAATCTGCCAAACTACAGAGCCCTGGCTTTAACCACCATTCCAGCACTGTCTCCAAATAAATATGAAATTCTGTTTCTGACCAAAGATTTCCTGATGATATGATAGTCATTCCAATTTGTTAATCACTAGTCCAATCTGAAGTGCTATTTCATCTAGAATGAAACTGTTTTTAAACTTCCATTCTAAAGGTTTTAGGCTTTCTCAGATTCTACTGCTGAGATCTAACAACTTAATGTACTCTGGTCAGCATTTTTTGTAGTTCTAATACCATCTGAATTTCAAGGGAGCCAATTTGGATCTCATAAAAGAACTCTTAAGAATTTTACTTGAGGGAAGGTGGCTCAGTGGTAAAGCGCTTGCCTTGCATGCCTGAGGCCCTGGGTTCGATTCCTCAGCACCACATAAGCAAAAAGAAAAAAGCCGGAAGTGGCGCTGTGGCTTAAGTGGTAGAGTGCTAGCCTTGAGCTGAAGAGCTGAGGGACAGTGCCCAGGCCCAGAGTTCAGGCCCCAGGACGGGACCCAAAAAAAAAAAAAGAATTCTACTTGAGTGTACATTGTGTGTATGTTTGTGTATGTATATGTATGTGTATGTTTATACATATAAACTTGCATATACATGTGCTATACATAAATATATAATGAGTATATACATACATAGATGATATTAAAAGCTAGCATATATTCCAAACAACCAACAATTCATTTACCTAAGGAACTGTAAAAAAAGTTTTAAAACAAAATATACTTTACCTTTAATCTTCTTATATTTTTTATACCATCTCCCAAACTCCTGGCACTTAGTTGCTGACACATTGGCATAATATGTGCTATTTACAATGGATGAAATCATACTCTGAAAAGAAAAAATATTAATTATTTTTCAAATATATTTCATATATATGAAAAATTAAATAAACATATTTCAAATATATTTATTTTTCAAATATATCTTTTTAGAGACAAGAAGGAGTGCATTATAGCTCATGTCGAATTTCTTCATCTTTTAAACTTGAAGCCTTCACTGTCCTGCACACTAAACTACTTCACATCAGATATGATGACCTGAATTTCTACCCTTTAAAGCTTACATCTGTACAATGACAATGCTTTCTCCAAAAAGCTGGCCCGGGAGCAGTGCCAAAGATGGAAGGGACAAGACATGAAAATTACAGGCATAGGGGAAGAAGAGTTGTGATTTAGGAACCAGAGCAAAAGGTGAGATCAGATGCTCCAGCATCCGTAATCCAAATAATGCCTTTCAGATGTTTCTGTTCCGCTTCCAACTGCAGCAAGCTTACACAGCCAAGAATCTGAGAACATCCGTGCTGCACACTGCAGAACAACGTTTAGGGAAATAAGTTAAATTAATATAATTTATAGAAACGTGTGATTAGCACTTGTGTGAAAATTCACCAAATGAAAAAATTAACAGTGCTATTTTAGAGCAGGGGAAACTAAACCTAACACTTGTACTGTTTCAACCAAAAATGATTCAAAGCTAAAGCTTCCTGAGTGCTTACGTATGTGATTCTTCCTTGCTCTTCATCTTCCTCTTCCTCCTCAGCTTAACCCCTGAGCTGACTAATTTTGTGATTTGAGTTAGAAGGAAAGTAAGAAGGAGCATGATCTGGCTTACCACTGAAAATAATTAGAATTACAACTGCACGTCTTGAATTAATGTTCTACGGAGATATGCTGGTTATCAATATGGCATGTCTAGGTCAATATTGATGGCAGATGTCAACTTGTACTTGGACTGACTTTGATATTGCACATATATGTTATATATAGATTCTATTTCTGCAAATTGTGTTTAAAAAAACAAATGAGCATGGACAACACAAGCAATCTAAATGAACTCTATTAGGTTTTATATCTTGCCTTGAAATCTCATCTGTCTCAAAAAAGGTTATCCCAGACATGCAGCAGTTCAGAGAAGTCTTAGAACTTCTATTGACATTTCTACAAAGTAGTAGAGATAAAAAGGATAACAATAAATCAAGTCAAAAGCAAGTTGTTTACCAGGAGGTTCTAACACCAGCAGACAGACCTATTTCATAGACTCCCATTTGAAACATCAGACTTGCTTTCTTTTATCAATCACTAGGCAATATCAGAGGAGAGGGCTCCTAATTCAATTCACAGAAACCTCTTTGGCCCTTTCTACACAACAGATGGCTAGCCTCCTCCAGTTGCTGATTGGTAAGTGACAGTTCTTCCTCCCCTACCCCCACTCTCACCAAGGGGAGATAGAAAGGGGAAATCTTTGATCCCAGAACTGAACACAGCACTAAGAACTCAAAGAGGCACTATTACCTGAGTGTTTCATAAAATTGACAGAGCTTTACTTTTTCCCTTAGAGGATAAGTCAGCTCCTAATCACCATGAGTCAGGGTCTGCTTTATGTGTTATTATTAAACAAGAAAAAAGCCACTTCCTGGTTAGCTGAGCTAGCTCCCTCTCTGGTCTGAGGTTTTCTCTCTGTTCTTAGACCATGGGACTCTTGAGGACAGAGACTCTATCTATATCCTAAAAAAAATTTTTTTCTACCTCGTGTCTCACATACTTCTGATGTGGGATATCTGAGTCACTGAAATTTAACACATAGAAAGGGGCAGAGATGACAATTTTAAAATGTCACATGGAAGTGTCATAATAATAACAATTTTAACAAAAAAAGCAAACTAATAATAGCTACACTGGCCACACTATTATATGTGAATAATTGTAAACATGCTTTTCATCTAGTATGTTTGTGTGAATGTTATCCTCAAAGAAAGACACAGAATACACAGCAATGGGCAGGTGTCTGAGTTCAATTTTCTATTATAAGATAGTCCAGAAAACTGACTAAAATAGAAGTATCTATGTACTTCCTGGAGCTATCTCTCAACCCTTCCTGGTTCCTATAGTAAGGCTAGAAGCTCACTTGTTCTGCCCCCAGATAACTCAAATATCCTGAACTCTCCAGCGTCTCCAGATCATTCCCCATTCCAGAAACATCTTCAATGACACTGTACAAGGCCAATGTTAGCCAGTGTGGGAAGAATGAAAGAATGGGCTCTGTTGGCTCCATTACTGGGCCTGATAGTTGTTACAACACATTTGATAAAGAATTAGATTGCCAAAGCTAATGACTCAGGCCAGCAATCCCAGCTTCTTAGGAGGCTGAAATATGAGGATCACTGTTTAAAGCTAGTCTGGCCAGAAAAGTCTGTGGGACTCTTATTCCCAATTAACCAGCAAGAACTGAAATGGATCAAGTGGTAGAGTGCCAGACTTGAGCAAAAAAAGCCAAGTGAGACTGCAAGACCCTGAGTACCACATCATATTTGCTTTCCTCCTCAGATTCCTATAAATGACTTTCTATCACTACATGATTACAGAACAAAGAATAAGCAGATTAAGTTATAAGTACAGCAAAAGAATTAGGTAGCTGGGGCTGGGAAGGTGGCTCAGTGGTAGAGCGCTTGCCTTGCATGCATGAGGCCCTGGGTTCAATTCCTCAGCACCACATAAGCAAAAAGAAAAAAGCCAGAAGTGGCGCTGTGGCTCAAGTGGTAGAGCACTAGCCTGAGTTGAAGAGCTGAGGGACAGAGCCCAAGCCCCCCAGAGTTCAGGCCCCACAACTGGACCCAAAAAAATAATAATAATAATTAGAAAGCAAACAAAGACTATTGCTAGATAAGGAGAATAGTTAACTACCAGAAAGATTTCAAGTTTGTGGCACAATTTATTGATATAAATTTCTTGCAGGACACATCCAAACTAGTTTCACTGGTCAGAATTATTATGATTTATTACTAAAAGGATTTTTAAAATAGAAAAGGTACACCTTGGGGCTATTTTAGAGTAAACGTCATGTTATATTTTTTTCTGGTTTTAAACATGAACATTCTCTAAGCCTAACTGAGACTGTTATATTCTTATAGTCTGAATACAAATCAGCAAATAGTAGGATAGAAAGCATCTGTATTTACTACATTTCATCAATTCTAAGGCCATTTTTAATCATCTAAAATAGGGATGCATCTTATAGTCTATTAGTCTCTATCTGTCTCTGTCTGTCTGTCTGTCTGTCTGTCTGTCTGTCTGTCTCTCTCTCTCTCTCTCTCTCTCTCTCTTTCTCTCTAAAATGTTGAGGATCAAACTGCGAGTTTTGTGTGCTGAGTGAGCTATGTCCCCAGTCCAATCAATTGCATCTCAAACCTTATGGGCCAGAATTAGTGCAAAATGGGTTGAGTAACAAAGCATCTAATTCCATTTACTATATAAGAAAATATGTATAATTTTTCAGGTCATTTGATCTTTAAAGTTTTACAATCATTCTAGAACACAACACTGGGGCCTTTAGCATTTCCTCTATCTCCTTATAAATGAACAAGATCAAAGTCATCTGTTCAATCCATTATGTTAATGTGAAGCAATACTGTAAAAAGTGACCCAGAAGACATGTGTACTGGTATTTGTGTGTGTGCCCATCTAGAGGCTTGAATTCAGGTTTGGGCACTGTTCCTGAGCTTTTTTTGCTCAAGGCTGGTACTCTACCAATTTAGCCACAGCTCCATTTTTAGTCAGAAGGCCTTTGGGTAGTTAATTGGAGATAAGAGTCTCAGACTTTCCCGCTTAGGCTGGCTTTGAACAATGATTCTCAGATCTCCTTAGTAGCCAGGACTACAAGTATAACCCACCAGCACTGGCTCTAAAAATAAATTTTCTTTCAGGTTCCTAAGATAAGTTTTGAACTTATGTTTTCAACTAGTCAAGAGAAAAGTTGTCATACATGATTACAAGTTTTCAAAATGTGGAAGTAGAAGCTCAGAATGAGGAAGCATCTCTTCCACAGTATGAAGGTATAGGGCACCTGTCCACTGATGGAAGGTAATGTTCACACCACCTCCATTAGGTAACACAGCTCAGTAGCTAATGCTACACCCAACTCTTCAGACAAGACAGGAAGTGAGGTGCCAAAAATAAATAAATAAATATATAAAACAAAAATAGTGATCTTAGGTCCCTCAGGTATGTGAATTAAGGTGTTTAGAACAGAAAAGAAACCTAAAGACAATTTAAGACTAACAAGAAAAAACAAAATACTAAACACAGGTTAAGATGATTTATATAATATACTTGTAAAGGCAAAGAAAGATCTTAGCATCATACATTTTCCTACAAAAAGAAAGACAAGTGAATAACCTTCATCACATTCCTGTTGGCATGGTGGAATTTATTTGTTTGAATAGCAATGTGATACTAAGAATAGCTAAGCTGCTAAGCTGCCGATACAAAATACATCTGCCATGAAAGAGAACATTTCACCAGATGCCAGCGGCTCATGCCTGTAATCCTAGCTACTCAGGAGCCTGAGATCTGAGGATCATGGTTCAAAGCCAGCACAGGCAGGAAAGTCTATGAGACTCTTAATAACCACCAGTGGCGCTATGGCTCAAGCGGTAGAGCACTCATCTTGAACTGAAGAGCTGAAGAACAGCACCCAGGCCCAGAGTTCAAGCCCCATGACCAACAAAAAGAAAAAGAAAAGAACATTTCAAAACCAGAGTGAATGATTTTAGTGAGAATACCTGGTGGAAGGAATGAGAACTGGCGTCTCCAGGTAGGAAAGAAAACACATGGCAGGCAATAAGTAATATACATTCTTGGCTTACTTTCCATTTTTTCATACCAATTTGTGATATGCTAAATAACATCTTAAACATGAAATTATAATGATACTACAATTAAGTATAGTACATGGAAAAACAGTGTGGGATGAATTACTTCGTCATGCAAAATTTATTTAACATCATTTGGTAATGTCCTACTATCTTTTCCTCTCCTCACATACGAACTATGATACCAGAACTGAAAACCTTTTCCAAAGCCCATTTCCTCTGGGCTTTGGAAAAGTGTATTTTGAAATTACTCTATGTGAGAACTCTTTTTCAAGTTGCTGCTGGTCTCCCAGCTAAGTCACTTCTTATGGTCATTGCAATGTACCAGTTAGGAATTATGTTATGCTGTCTTTCATGAGCTTTCTGCAGCATGAATTCTAAGGTTGGGCCACAAATTTAAACAAGCTTACTTGAAAATAAAATAGACACTTTCGGACTGAGAGGTGGCTCAGTGGTAGAGCACTTGCCTTGCATGCCTGAAGCCCTGGGTTTGATTCCTCAGCACCACATAAGCAAAAAGAAAAAAGCCAGAAGTGGCACTGTGGCTCAAGTGGTAGAGCGTTAGCCTTAAGCTGAAGAGCTGAGGGACAGCGCCCAGGCCCAGAGTTCAGGCCCCACAACCAGACCCAAAAAAAAAATAAAATAAAATAAAATAAAATAGACACTTGGAAACTCCTTAACACAAGATAGGATGCATCCCCAGTGTATATATGAATTTAACATTAGGTACTGGTGGCTCATGCCTATAATCCTAGCTACTCGGGAGGCTGAGATCTGAGGCTCTCGGTTCAAAGCTGGCTTGTGCACGAAACCATTATCTCCAACTAACCATCAAAAAATCTATAAGTTGAACTGTGGCTCAAGCAATAGAGCACTAACCTTGAGCAAAAAAAAAAAAAAAAAAGCTCAGGGATAGCACCCAGGCCCTGAGTTCAAGCCCCAGAACTAGAACAAGGAAATTTTTTTTTAAGTAAAACAAATGGATAGTTTGTAATCAGTTAACTGGTCTACATAGTTGATCAGTCCCCTGTCTATAGATGAACACATGCTCAATTTGTACTTAGGTACAGACTCAACTGAGTGCTTATTTCACTGCCTTGTTATTTTGGCATATTGTACACATAAATTAGGTGCTTTAACAATCCCCAAGTGGCTAGCCATGCTTAAAATGACAGCGATGAGTATCCTACAGTCTATTTCTACAGGTAGACTGCCATATCACTGTCACACTGGAAATCTACTAACATCTTCAAGTTCAATAACTTTAGTCAATTATTTCTTTCTCAAATATTTGACAACATGCCAGGTATGATGGTTAATGCCTGTGTTCCCAGTTTCATAGAAGAAGAGGCAAAGACAGAAAGATTGCAGCTTAAGGCCAACATGGGCAAAGCTAGAATAAAATGCTATCTGAAAGGCAAATGAAAAGCCAAAGGCTGAGTGTGTGTGGCTTAGTGGTAGAGGCTAGCAAGGCTGAGGCTCTGAAAATATATACATACATACATACATATATATATATATATATATATATATATATATATATTATAGCAACAAAGCCTTAGAAAAAGAGCTGTTTTAAAAATCATCTGTCTGAAAGGGGTGACATCAATCAAGATGCATTGTATTCATAAATTGATTTGTTGAGTGGTAACTCCTTTGAACAACTACTAAAAGATAATTTAAAAAATAAATAATTTGTCTATATGCTAAGTGAAATAAACCAACATAAATCTATAAATGTCACTTAGGTGAAGTAGCTAACTCATGAAGACCTAATTCATGGTTATAGAACTTTTGTTGGGGATAAGGAAAAACTTTTGAAAATTGGTAATGGTGATGACTACACAAAATTGCGAATGTAATTCATGCTACTCATTTGTAGGCTTAAAATGGCTTAAGAAGTAAACTTTTTAATATTCAATAAATATTGAACTTATCTAGTCATGGAGAGCATATGTAACATTTAGGAGCATACTAGAAGTGCACACCCTTAAAGAATTATTTATTCTTTCACTATCTTTTCTTCTGTTGCTGCTGGGGCTTGTACTCAAGGCCTCATACTCTGATACTCTGACTTAGCTTTTTTGCACATGGCTAGCAAGAGTAACAGCCATTTGAGACATGCTTCCACTTCCAATTTTTTGCTAGTTATTTGGAAAGAAAAATCTCTGAACTGAGATTCTCAAATCTCAGCCTCCTGAGCATCTAACATTACAGGCATGAGCCAATGGTGCCCAGCCCAACCATTGTGCGTACGCGTGCATGCGCATGCGTGTGCATGCACACCAGTACTGTGGCTTGAACTTAGAGCCTGGGCACTGTCTCTTAGCTATTCTGCTCAAGCCTGGTACTCTATCACTTGAACCACAGCTCTACTTCCAACTTTTTGGAGGCAAGAGTCTCATGAACTTTCCTAAAGATCATGGCTTTGAACTATGCTACTCAGATCTGAGCCTCCTAATAGCTATGATTACAGATATGAGCCACCAGCACCCTGCTATATTTTTTTAATTAACAAGATTCTGTTTCCTCTTTTTAAACATCACAAGATGGACATGGCAAGTACCATACTTATTTACACAGATCAAAACCCTAAGGGCATGAGGTTTTGCAATCAAAAGTAGACTTTAGGATAACTCTTCCTTGGATAAGAATTCATATGCCACAAGAATCTGAGTTCATAATGGTTTCAAATTGGAAGGTAAAAGAAGACCATTTAATAAGGAAGATTAGTATCTATGATATAATAAATTAGGCTGCTGGGGTCGGGGGCTAAAGAAGAAAGTAGGTATGATGACTCACAGAGACATCAGGGAACATGGAAGAGGAGGTCAGCACTTTGAAAGGTGAAATCAAAAATAAATACACAGACACACAAAAGATAATCTATATTTTCTAAGCATCTGGCCAGACAAAATGGCTAAATCATGACTTCCCCCTTAAATACATAGACTACAATTGTTTCCTTTTTATGGACTTCTCCTCCCTTTTCTGCTTCCTTCAAGGCTGCTCTTTTGAATTACAGATCACTGGGATGTTCAAGTAAATATGTACTATCCACTCAATTGTTCCTTTATGCAATTGCCAAGCTCTAGTGAGGAAATACCTAACATGGCTTGGCTCTGGTTCCTTCCTTTGATCACCTTGGGCTCTTATTTTCATGGCTTGTTTTAGTTTATGATCAGTTCACTAAAAATGGACTATCATTTTCATTTTTTTCATGATACATTTTAATGTGGTGAATTCACTAGGAGAATTCTATAAATGTAGACAGTATAACGATATCTCTCTCTACCAGACAGAGAAAAGACTTGATCAATCATACGCAGATGGATTCAGCAAGACTGACCCATTCCATTGACCAAGTCAAGCAGTGATCCTGGCATCAGTTGTTTTAAAGAAGTCTAGAAAGAGACTCAACCTGTCACCTGATGAGCTGAGTAAGCACAGGAGGAAACGGAAGTGGGTCTCTAAGTTCTGACTACCTGATCTATAAAATGGAGACACAATCCCTACTTTCAATGAGATAAATGTGAAGTTGGCCATTACGTATGTAAAATACATTCAAACACTCCCATAACTTCAAAGCTCTATTAAAAGCCCATATGAAAGCATCATAGTTTCCATATTTTTCCACTGTAAATGCAGTGTGACTGTACAAATAAGAGAAGACAGCTTGTGTCAAACACAAGTGCCCTCCACCTAGACAGTCTACCGGTAACTTTCTGCTTCTCAGACCCCCTCCCTGAAGATACTGACCTGGGAGAGAGGGCATTCTTTGGCTAATGTGCTCTGGTTCATCTCTTTGAGCAGTTCCTTTAAGGCATTGCGGACTGTGGCATGGTTCCACTGCTCCGCAGGCAAGTCTTCCAACTTTGAACAACTGAAAAATAGAGCAGGAATAAATGCTGAAGCAGAAGACACAGGTGTACTGTTTGCTTCCAGTCCTGGACTAGCATTACGAGGGCTGCTGAGAAGTGGGGACACAGATGAGCCCTTAGTGAGGGAAGATAGGAAAAATTGCTTTTGCAGAACATTGATGATACTTGACAGGGTTTCTTTAAGGCAGCTATCACATCAGCCTAAGGAAAATTATCACTTTGAGTATTAAGAAAGCTATTTTTTAAACCAGGTTTTTTTTTTTAATTCAGAAATGTTACTTTCTCAGACCCCCCCCCCCAAAAAAAAGAAATAAAACAAAAAAAAACTTTTAAGGTAAGACCCTCAAGTACCCCCTAGATTTTTCTCCTTTTGGAGAAAATTCAAAAGTCCTTACACTGAAGAATAGCATTTCTTAAATCACAACTAGCACATACTCTTCAATAAAAGACTACCAAGGACCTCTTGATTCTTGAGGCAAGTTACCAGGAAAGAAAGCCTGTCAGGAAGGCAGAAGACAGGAGCCATTTACAAATCTCTGTAGGCCCAGTATATATTTTATTGAGGTGATCACTAGAAAGGAGAGGAGAAACATCTCCAGGGCTGGCTTCTAAACCTGCAAAAGAACTAAACTCACCCTTCAGCACCCACCTGAAAGAAGCAGAAGGGTTTAGTGCTTCAAAGGCTATGTGCTAAGCTCTGAACCAAGTCCAGAGGACCCAATGAATGAGGGGTTATGGAAAGTTCCCCCTTCGAGTGCCCTGTAGATTTTTAATGATTTATCAAGCTGCCCCTGGGTTACCACTTCACTGCTTCTGAAAACAAAACATAAAACAGTTGGAATGTGGACTATAAAGATGCCTGGTGAAGCACCCCTCCTGCCCCACTATCTCTCTACTTCATCCAATGTCTAGAAATTAATGAAGCCAGGGCAGGCTCATCTCTGCAGTGAATCTATGATCACCAGAGCAGCTCTGAGAGGAAGGAAAGACAGATGTTCAGAAACACCCACCTTTGTAATTGAATTTTCAACGTCACCACATGATAGACATCTTGTAGCATGTCGGCCACTGTCGCATCGGGTGCATCTGTCACATAACTGAGGGGGAGAGGGTTCCACCTCCCCAGCTTGATTATTCCTACACAGGGAAGAAAAACATCATAAACACATATGTGCTATTTATTAAACCTTCCTGTTGTTTGTTCAATGTGAAGAAGGTCATTCAATAGTCAACATTCAAGGCCCACGCTGATATTTTACAACCCAGGGCAATAAGCTATTTTTCTCTGGCTGACAATTGAGTTAGTTAGCTATACAGGAAGACAGGAATGAAAAGGATGAAGTGTAATCATGGACAATCAGTCCTCCTATGTTTTCTTCTTTCTTAAGTTATTTAGAAAGCCACCCTGATACTTCCTTTCCCCAAAGTCTTGTTTCTCAGCCTAACTTAAAACTGATGCTAAATATATATGACTGTTGACTTCATAAATAATCAATCAATCAAGTAACCTTTAAGTAAATACAAGATTCGGTCTTAAACTGAACAAGAAAAATACTGTGTGTGGGGTCAGTTTGCAGTCATGTTCTATATTGTTCTATGGTGTGATTCCCAGGGCATATGGCATTTGAAACTGGTGAAGCAGAGTTCATCCCTAGACTGGGCTTTCACGAGGCAGAGGGCTTCCTTTCCTGTGCCAGACCAGTAATACAACCCCAACCCCAGATCAGAAATAATAACGATGCCTTGGATTTCCTTTCTTCTTATGAACTTTGTTTTTTTCTAGAATGACAATAGTACCCTTCCTTTGTAGGTTTTTCTGTTGCACCTGGAAAATGTGTATGATAAAGAGAAAAGAATAAAAATCCTGGTCAAACTTTAAGCTCCAGAGAGCAGTAATTTTAGGAATCCCCTTGTTACAGGAAGATTCATGGGATGGTTTTAGCAACATATGGTGAAATGCTAACTTATGCATAAGATGAGCCCATCTTGTCTGGTGCTCAGGGCACACAGAAAATTAATGAAGAAAACTTGAGAAACTCATTTTGCAAATGACAGAGGCTAACAAAAATTTTATTTCTATGCCATGAAAAACCCAGTAGTCCCTAGGATATTAGATCTTGTCAAATATTAAAAAGTTACATTTTAGAGATAAAAGAAAAACGGCATTATTATTTTTACTTTTGACAATGTGGGTGAGTCCAACTACATTTTTCTTCAAAAAATAATATTTTTTATCACCAGTGAGAGTGCAAGAACACCTGTATACTCTAAGGTACTTTTAAACGCTTCACAAAATGATACTTTATAGCTACAGGGCAAAATTCCAACAACAGGAAATAAAATTTCTGGTCAGGGCATGTCCTGTCCAAGATGAAATAAATGAATGCGCAATGCTTGACATAATGCTTGAAAACAGGGAATAAACAGAACAAAAATATTAAAATGATGCACTGTTTCAGTATTAAGATTTAACAATCTGGTGCTGAATATGCTGCAGTATAAATAGTGCCTGGACCCAGATCCAATAAAGTAACACAGCTCTCATTCATAGTACCGTATGTCTCCAGTTCTGGCTCCTGAAGTTATATTTCACTTGCCAAGAAAAGCTGTTTTCTTGTGGGGATAGTTTTCCTTAACATTCTCTCATGACAATGAAAAGTACACAGCACACATCAGCCACAAAATGAACATCCAGGGCCGGCTGGACACCACCCTGAAGAAGAAGGAATTGCTTCTTTGCTCCTTTTACTACTCTGGCATTTGCAAATACTAAAATCATACCATTTAACACGTCTGACACACTTCCTTTTTTTCAAGAAAAAGTAAAATTACTTCACAATTTCAACTTCTTTTCAAAAAAATTATCAGGATGGCTCCTAAATTGAATGTAAATTGATCACATTCTACCAGCAGGCTACCTTTATGATAAGAGAGTAGTGGGAGAAACAATTTGGGAGCCAAAAGCTCTGAGAAGCAAGCAGGAGCATCAGTTTTTGTGGATCACTTTGGTTACAATGAATATGAACATAATTAGAAAAAAAATGAACCCTGAAAACTTCTATGTGCTACACTACAGGACACTCATCCCTATTGGATGCATCCATTTCTTTTTGTTGTGTAGGAACATTCCTCAATAAAACCACACACAGCAGAATACAGCTATATGGTTTCATTTATATCAAATCCAAAACAAGAGAGACTGACCACTGAGGACAGAAGTCAAAGGAACAGGAGAGGGAATTCACTAGAAAGGGACACAGAGGGATTGTATTTTTGACTAGTAGTTCCATGAATCTAAAAAATTATCAAAATTCGTCAAACCCACCACTTTTTTGAACACATTTTATTGCATGCAAATTATTATACCCATTTTTAGAAACAGAAATGTGAAGGAGAGAAATCTATATAAAAAATGAAAGACAAATCACCTAAATAGAGACAGTCATCTCCATTTAGGTAAATTCCCCACCCCCATCCCCCATCTTGATGAGCCAGAAGGAGGCTTGTTTGGGCTGGAATTAGACACACACAGGTGTTTTCACAACACTTAATACCTCTACGTGGAGCAGCTGCTCCAGGTTGCTTTCTTCATCTTGGAAGAGAGCTGTTGATGCATGTTATTTTCTTAGGCAGGGGGAGGTAGTGTATGCCTTTCTTTGCACTATCGTGATTAACCTGAATCATCCTGGAAGTCAGGATCTATGCCCAACTGTCTACCCCACTCTACAGGTGCATAATCTGTGAGCAGAGCTCTATGCAGAAGCCCACCCCCGCCCTCCAACCAGGTAAGGGGCTGAGGTAGCTCTTTTTTTTTTTTGGGGGGGGGGGGGTCCGGTCGTGGGGCCTGAACTCTTGGGCCTGGGCGCTGTCCCTCAGCTCTTCAGCTCAAAGCAAGAACTCTACCATTTGAGCCACAGTGCCACTTCCGGCTTTTTCCTTTTTGCTTATGTGGTGCTAAGGAATCGAACCCAGGGCCTCAGGCATGCAAGGCAAGCGCTCTACCACTGAGCCACCTTCCCAGCCCCATGAGGTAGCTCTTTTTAAATAAGCCTTTACTCTAAGCAGAATGGCTCATAGATTAACCCTTTTTAGAATGTATTTCTTGAAACAGCCCTTCTTTGCTTGATTTTTTTTTAAAGATGACAAAAATATTACTTAGAACATTTCCTAAATGAATGTTAATTTAGGAAATCAAACTGGAAAGCAGTATACCATAGGAACTATGAAGAAAAATGAAGGTTATAAATGAAATTGCCTCTGACCAAATCCTGGTCCCCATCTTCAAAGTACATGACTCTAGTAAGCTACTTTGTTTCTGTATATTCTTCATTCTTTCATCTGTGAAATGGAACAATTAAAAAAAAAGACTGATCTTTTAAGACTACTGTACCTATTACATGTAAAGCCCTTTGTGTAGAGCCTGATTATAAGAAAAGACTGCAGAGAAATTTTTTTCTAAGTCTGGAGGGCATTGGATGTCTGACCATATTCTGTATAGGCTAGCAAATAAGGGCAGGTCAGAGGTGGTTTTGTGTCTGGTCACCTCTGTTTGTTAGCTGTAAGACTTTGGGCACCTCGTTTAGTTTCTTCATGTGTCAGCTTCCATATCTGCAAAACTTGGATAGTAACAATCCACATCCTGGATAGATATCATGAGGGTTTAAAATAAGAATGGCAGCTCAGGGATCACCTCATAGTAGGTGCTCAGTAAAAATCAGAAAGAAACAGATCTTTCTCATTACTAAGCACAGGCAACACCACCGGAGCAAAGCTTTAAGAGATCAATCTATATTGGAATGCAGCCTCTTAAAAACGAGCAGCATTCTGAAAGGGAGAAAAATAAAACAAACCAGGTAAGGTGCTTCTAATTACAACCAACCTCTTCCCAACCTTTAAAGCAGGATGCAGACCCCACCAAAGCTACAGTGCAGTAAGGAAGACATAAGAAAACAAAGAGGTGTCACAAGTCCGTTGGGGTCATATCTGACTCACAGCATCAGAGGAATCTCGGTGATAAAGGCATAACAACTACAGTTGTTAAATAATTAAAATTTCTAATCCCAGTGTAAGTAAATTTTCTAATTTCAATCTGAAAAATGACAAATCTAATGATGATTACATTAGATCATAACTATCAGGCTCAGGCCTGTGATCCTAGCTACACAGATGGCTGAGATCTGAAAATCATGGGTCAAAGCCAACCAGGGCTGGCTTTTTATCTCCAATAAACCACCCAAAAGCCAGAAGTAGAGCTGTGGCTAGAGTGGTAGTGTGCTAGACTTGAGCAAAAATTATCAGGGACAGTCTTGAGTTCAAAAGAGAGGGAGGGACTCACCAGTGGGTAAGTCAAAGATCAAGGGAGAGTAACTTTTCAAAAACACCAAGGAGAACTACCAGGATGAGCACCTGAGCTTGAGGGAGCAGCTTTCCATAGAAACCTCTCACTGCAGCCCTGTGCCAATCTCCAACCACAAGTCTGGGGAGAACAAGGCCATAACTTACTAGTCACACATAAGTCAGTCTTGACATTTAATGTTGAACAAAAGAACAAATGAAATGGAAAAGCAAACAGGTGATAAGCCCAAAAAAATGAAGAGTCAGCTACCAATGGGACTTCACTGAGGGAAAAAATGATTTCCCATAAAGTGCAAATTTAAACATAAACATTGCTTCCCAAATCATCTTTATTATTCCAAGAAATCTATCATCTGCAAACATTTAGAAAATGCCTGGTGTTGAAGACTATTACAGATGCAGTTTGAAGGTCTTTGAGTCACAAATTATGGGCCTTTATTTTGGAGCTGAAATTCATACAAATGTTAACATGATTGAATTGAGCACAATATAAATAAAACTGTTTATATCCAGACAAATCTGTTCATTCTAAAATACAGAGTGCCAATCCACTCTTTATGTAATGCATTCAGACCAAATAACAAAATGCAATTGTAGGTAAATTTCCCATTAGTGACATAAAATTAAGTTGGGAATGGAAGCAATTTTTGCCTAAAATTAAAAAGATACAATAATGGAAACTAGTTTTTCATTCTCTCAATACAGTATTCTGCCACAGTGAAAGAGTTGATGTTTTATAAAAAGAAATATCAATAGTTGTTTGTGTTTTTCAATCAGTTTGT